TGTTGTGTTTGCTTTTTGTATTTTTTTCCCACGCTTTTGGTTTGTGTTTCTTTAAATATTAACTCGCAAAAATAAGAATCCTCTGTTTAGAGTCAAAAAGTTGAAACAAAAAATGTTAAATCCACTTAGAGACCATTGTTTCACTATCCCCAGTTAGGACTGTGTGAAATGTGTGTGTATTGGGGGTGTTAATGCGCACAGAAGATATTGTAAAGAATGGCTTCTGAGCTGTGGATGCAGCAGGATTTAAAGGACAATGCAGGGCGCAGTGCTGCTCCTTCCTATCACCTGCTTACTTGAGTCCGGTTGACATTAAATCTTTAGATCTGACACCAGAACGATACACTATTCTGACTGAGATGTTCATTTGACTTTTGTGCGTATAGTGCGTGCACAAGACTAACCTTTTTTCTCTATGTGATCACCGATGCTGTAATTATGCTATCACCAGTTTTGCCAGTTCTTCCATTTTAATATTATATGCTACAGAGCTGGCTGCCTAATTATTAAAGCTCATTACATTTTTTTTCTGATCCCAGCTTTGCAATCAAAAGTATGACAGAATGGATTCATCCAAAAACAATTAATTTTTCGGATGAACCCCAAAAAACGGGCCCCGTCTGATTAATTATAATTCCCTCCTAAAAATTCATGCCCACGATTGTTCCCAAATAAGTAAAGAAAGGGCTTTTTATATTGTTGATTAAATAAATCTTTCGATTGAATGCACAAATAAGAATGCCGCAGGAGAATCCATAATAATGTTGATCATTGCTTTCCTTTAATCGCTGAATTTCAGCGTGTTCGGATGCCTCAGGCAGTGAGGTAGTCTTTGATAAAGGTAACCCCGCCTGCCTCAGGGTGCCTATGATAAATGTACAGACTGACAAGACCGATTTCCTCCCTCTATGATTAAAAGGCTATATATAATATTCAGGTAGAGCCGGGTCCAGTTTATTTATGGGGGCTAAGCCGTGGCCCGAGGAGACTTGGCTCGAGGGCAGAAATCATTCTGGAGCCCGATTTTTTTCCTTTTTTTTCTTAAAAAAAAACGAAGAAGAAAAAAAAGAAAGAAAAGAAAACAGAAACAGAAATCCTTCCACCTTCCCCCCGCCCCGGGCACAAAGTCTTTATTCGTCTCCTTTTCTCTAATGATTAAACATGTCATGGCGAGATTATAGCGAGGCGCCCATGCCCCGAGGAGATGCCTTCATTTGTTAAACCACCAGTTTATTTGTAACGGTGAATTTCATGCCACGCTTTCCCATTCGCCTTAATCTTTTTCTATGTAAGACAAATTGCTAAAAGGGGGTTTATTATTTTTTAATCACTTCCCATTTCAACATCGCTCTGACACCGGCAGGGAGGAGGGAGAATAGTTAGAAATCTCCAAGGCTTCTTCACATAAATCCAAAGTGACAATTTGTAAAGCCTCGAACAATATTATTGTCAAATAAACAATTAAACAAATAAATAAACAAAAATAAAATAAATAAATAAGTAAATCATCCTCTCCACGAAAACTTGATCTGGCCCGCTGTAGATGGCACAAGTACAGACAACTTGTCCTCGTTAAGCAGCTAGTGTGCGAGAGCAGTAATAACATTAACAGCTGTTGACATCTGTAGAGCTCTAGCGGTCTCTACCGGCAAAATTAAGAAACAACAGGGGGTGCTTACAATTAGGCAACTTATGATTGCCAGTATCGGTGCTCATAGGTGCACAGAAAAGAAACATTTGATCATACGAGGACCAAACGCAGGATTTCTGACAGGTAAAGCACAGAGATGTTATCTTCGCGCACAGAATTTGGCTCGGCTTTGGTGTAACTTTGGGAGCGCATCATTTGTGGAAGCTTTTTTTTTTTAAATTAAATTAAAATTTTTTGCATAATTTGGGGTCAATGTATGCGCCTTTTGTTGACTCTTGGACAAGAACATCTGTCGTATTAAATATTTTCTTTAATTTTACTCTTAGTCATCTCCAGATGACACCTCAATTCTCCCGATTGAGCAATTGAGTGTGAAGGTGAAGGCCTCTTTCTCTAAGTGTCACGCAATGATAATGCTGAAAAGAGCACAGTCTGCCCACGTGAACGCGTAATGATCACCAGCTACTGTAGGCTGAAACACACAGACCTGCCTGCATCATTTTTGTATTTAAAACACATTAAGATCAGCGTTTTATTAATTTAAAGACCAAAGTGCGCGCTCACGTGCATGAATCAGCAGTAACAGAAAACAAGCAGCGTCTATTAAGCTGTAACAAGAGAAAATACTGTATAAACTGCCTGGAGCATCCAGTGCGCTTACCTAGACTGGAGGGGGGCTGAATGTGTTGCCAGCGTTAAGACAGCGCGCAGAGTTAATGAAATATCTTCAAATGGGAGTCAGGAGTGCGTGCAGAGATAAGCCTGATGTGGTTTATATACCCAGAAAGCAAGTGCTCCTCTTCTCATATTGTCCAAGAGCGTTTGCATAGCTGGCCAAGTGGCTCTGCT